TGGATAGACATATGCCGGTCTGTGAAACAAGTCTTTGAGGTGAACTTAGACATGCATTCTGTTTTGGTTTTTTAAATGTCAGACTTCTAAAATGTGTTTGTGGTCTCACCAGCTTAGAAGATATTCATCATAAAGCTTTGTTCTCAGCATGTGTGGTCTGAATATTTTTTGGAGTGGGATTTTGTGTTAGATAGCAGGCTATGAATATTTTTGGGGTGGGATTTTGTGTTAGAAAGCAGACTATTTGTTCTTGGGATCTGTCTGGAATGAGTGGACAATTCAGGTTAGGCTTTCGGTCCCTTCAGTTCCAGGATGAAGAGCCTGTGGGACAGCCAGTGCTACACATCTGACTCACCAGGCACTGCATGCTGCCTGCTGATATTCCCTCCACTTGTGGGCGGGAGGACTGAAGCCCAGGGAATGCCTTATCTCCAGAAGGTGGGGGTTAGAGTCCAGAGCAGAGGACCAACCTCCCGTGTCCACTTTGTGGGCACCAGACACTCAGCAGCATGCCTACTGACACCATGAAGAGATTTGAAACTGAGAATGTGTCTGCTTTGTCCCATTTATATTAACTGGGCTAATGAAATAAGGCAGAGAAGTTCTCTTTAATCAATCACAGCTATTTCACAGTTCCTTTTAATACTTCTACTTGAGTCATCTTGCCTATAGTATAGTAGAAGTAATATTCGTTTATTCTATCTGGGTTAGATAAATCCTGGACTAGTGAGATTTTTACAGTGTATTGAATATCTTGGTTAAAATCATACAGAATAACAAAATGTTACTGCTGTTTGGTAATGAAGAGACCACATGATATGCTCCTGTGGTTCAGCATCTGTCAGTAGGCAAGCCTTTCTAGCACAGAAGATCTGAAAACACGTTCAGGAAGCAAAGAGAGGCAAAAAAGAAGGAAATTGTGACCTGTTGGAAGTGATGAGAAGCTTCCAGGGAATTTTGGATAGAGGATGTGATCTGGTTTTGCTGAACTTCTGCTCTAGTCTGGACATGATTCATAATGGTAATGTCCTCATTTTATCATTCTGCTATTAAATGTATAAATTAAATAGGATTTCTCTTGTTACTGGAGATCACTGTTCAGGTTAGCTGGGAGATCTGTTTCTCCCCCATATTAGTTGTGTGGGAAACAGAAACCTTTTAACAGAAGCGTTTTCAGTCTAGTCAAAGTTATAAAAAGTCAAGTGGCTGAAAGCTGGAAGTGAGCTGAATTCTGAACAGAAGCAAGAAACTATTTTAAGTGAAGGAAATTAATTAACTATGGGAACAGTTTACAAAGACTAGGAGATTCTCTGTTATTATCAGTTCAGGAATGAAGCTTAGGGGGAAAAAAAAAATCCAAAGAAACTCTTTACTCCTAAGAGGAATTAACTCAGGGATGCTGAAGGTCAGAACAGATAATCTCAGTGGTCCCACCTGGCCAGGCCTGAGTATGTCTTTGAAGTAGTTCTCTAAAGCAGTCTGAAGGTGTGTCCTCCTGTTACCTGTTGCAAATCAGTATAAAGAAATGAAATCTAGGGCAGAAAGACAGGATACTTTAGCTACGATAGACTTTCTTTATAAATTGGACTACTGAATAAGTGTTTAGCTCATTTTAGCAGTTCTCTATATCAAAATGGATATGCTATTTTTGCTGCTTTTTAATCCTAATAAGGAGACCAGCTCTAAATACCAGGATAAAATGGAGATGTCTCTGGGGATTTTTTCCTGTCTTGCTTTTGTGAATAGAAATAGAGATTAACAGTAACACCAAACCTAGAGAAATTATGTTCAGAAAACAATCACCCTGCTAAAAATATAGGAGACAAGCATCGAATTATAATAGTAGACTCTTAGCTCTATCAGAGTTTTCTTTACCACATTAAAGATAGATTAGGATCATGTTATGTAAAGATTTTCCTCTGAAATTTTCCAATGGATATATATTTTGATGGTGTATCTCACAGTGTCTTCCTGTGTGTTGAAACATATTAAAAGCAAAATATTTTGATGCTACAGCAGTCTGTCTTGTAAGAATACAGATGCTTTCTCAAAGTAGTGTACGAATAGCCATGAACTGAGTTTTTCTGAACATGGTACCTCTGATTATATGGATGTTCTGATCAGGTTCCTTTCAGTTGCATCACACTCTGGAAACCTTGGAAGCAGCAAGCTACAAGGCTAAGTTTCACAAAGAGGACTAAAGTATCCGCCTCCATAGTTTGTCAAATGAGGATGTCTTTTTCTCCACCGGGGCCTTGACAGGAGCTCAGATCCTCTGCATAGGCTAGCGAGGAAGGGAGAACTGACACTGCCCTTTGTGCTATGTTACCTCTGCTCAGTGTTTCATGTGGTCGAACGCTGGAAATTTGGAGAACTCTGAGTAACCACAGATGGGAACTGCAGGCAGGATTGTGAGGCTGACGCACTCCTGCGGCACGGATCCAGTTGTAGAGGAAGACAAAGGTCCTGTGGTTTTCTTAGGGAATAATCAGCTGGCTTCTGTTGTGGCAGATGCTCTGAGCATCCATCTTAAACAACAACGCATAATTTAATAGGATTTTAAATGTAACTAATGCTCTTGTTTCATTTTACAGTCTTGAATCAAGTCACTTGGGGGAGGAGAAGATGCTACTTCTTTGACTAAAAATTTTCAGGGCATTTTGTTTAAATTTATGCAGCTGGCACATCCACAGCTGATAACTCATGCAGATGTCATGTGGAGAACTGCAAGGCTTCTGGCTAAAAAAAAAAAACCCACAATTTATTTCACTTCAACATCTTAATTAGTTTTGTAAAAATAAAAAGGAGAGATTAGGAAATGTCGGTTTGTGGGAGAATTCTCATGGTGTGAACAGTAAAATATTAGGGATCTGATTAAATCTAAGTTGCAGTTAAACTTGTGCCCAGTGTGCCGACTACTGGAAGACAGCAGATGAAAATAAGTACCTGTAGATACATGTGTACTGGTACGTGGCCTGGCCCTGAGCAACCGAGTGCTCTGGTACTGTGAAACTGTTAGCAGAATGGTTGCCAGCATAGACGGCTTTAGCCAAGGCTAACTTGCAGCCTCACAAACAGTTCGTGGCCGTGATTTAGATGTTACGGCATGCCAGGGTTCATTCCCAATGTACAGTTTGCATGCAGCCACTCTGAGAGGCTGCAGGTTTAATAGACTTGGCCAGAGGATGCCATTTGGCCTCAGGGCCAGAGGGCTGACCCAGGCACTGTGTAGTTTGCTAGTTGCTCTGACCAGTGCAGGAGGGATTCATGTTGGTTTTAGCAGTACTCCACTGCTAAATAAGGAGATTACCTCTCCCACACATCATTTTAGACGTCTCATTTCTGTTTGTACAAATACTTAATATTCGTGTTAAGAAAATCTCAGTCTTTGTCTCTTTTGGGCGCCTCTTGCAGCTTTTTTTGGTGAAAGACAGAGGAGAATATTTTTGTTTTTCATTTTTACATTCGCAACAGAATTTGTCTTTGCAATTTTTAAGGAGATAGTAAAAGGCATGTTGTCTTCGGTACCAGCAGTGATGATGATGTGGTAATTTTGCTGTTGTTGATAGTGCATCGTTTGCACACACTTTTAGGAGCTGCCTTCTGTATGAAAAAGTGATCCTTTCACATATGCCTAAGAAAACGCACCAGTATATGTCAGAAAAGGAAAAAGAGCAAGATACTGAGACACAAACTTACTATGCAGCCCACTTCTTAAGAAAGACAGTAATCATTTAAAGGCTTTGCCTTCGCAGTTTCTTGGGATGGCTACCCTCTTATTTCAAGGAAACAAGCATTCCATCAGCATTACCTCCAAAAGTTATGTATTTTTGTGGTGCACTTAGGTAGACAGACTGGGTTGTGTGACAAGAACAACTAGCACATGCACTTTAAAAATCTTCTCATTTCCAAATAGTATGTAGGTCATATGATACCCACAGGCATGATTCATCCACCTAGGCTTTATGCCAGTCAGCAACTGCGTGGATCTGACACTCCAGGAATATTGTAAAATTATTAAAGCTGTATTTTTTTTCTTCAAATAACACTGTTGATGATAGCTGTAAAAAATACAGAATGTAATTTATAGTTCCTTTCTGAAGGAATTCATTTCGTTAAGTAGATACAAAAAGTACAGTAGGGACTGAGGAGAATGCAGAGCAGACATTGCTGATTGAGCCCAGGTAGCTTTCCTCGGCCCTGCAGACTGCAAATTTCAAAGGTCGCTATCTTGATATAAATCTTACTTCAGGCAGAAGTAGTCTTCACCCGAGTGTTTCTGCTTGAAGCCCAGCTAGCTGTTAAGGGTTGAGCTTAGTTACAATGAGCTAAAAACTGCCAGTGTTCTGCCTCTGTTAGGCTTTTGGGTAAAGATGATAATCTCTTCGAGAGGCAGAAATCCCATACATTTAGTACAAACCTCATGCATTTTTTTTGCAATGAAGTTAATTTTCAAGAGATGAGATCATGCTTATTTTTAGGCATGTGTATTATGCAGACAGACACTCTTAATTAAAGATTCAACAAGCCTTGCTCAGGGAACTGTCGAGCTGCATTTTAAAAGATGTGTAGGTGTCTAGGAAAACAAAAATGTGTGTAGCTGGTATGGTTTTTTTCAGATATACTGACATGTTTATCTCAATGAACACTTATAGGAGTAGATTGTTCTGGGACTTGCCAGGTTGCTTACCTTGCATTTCTAAGTGCCTGTATACTTAAAAATGTAGCCCCTAATGACTTTGAAAACCAGCTGCCTCTTTTATCTCCTACTTGTGAAGAATCCCATACAGATTTCTTTTTTTTTTAAATTATCTTTAGAGGGTAAAGGCTGAAATTCCCACAGTTGAACTAAAGAGACAGCCTTCTAGAAATGAGGTAAAGAAGTATAACCTTTGCCAAAGTGTAAAGAAACAGCAGTGTTTAACTTTTATGAACTTAAAACTGAAAAAAAAAATTTCTCCTTTGTCTTCCTGCGTTTATGACTTCCCATCCCATGAAAGTGGGAGAGGAGGAATGTTCTCAGGTTTGTAAACCTGTCTGGGTTATGGTGGACTTGCTCTAAATATTGGGTTTTTTTTCTTTCTTTCATCTAGATAAAGAAGAGGCAACAAGATGTGGTGAGGTTTCTGGAAGCCAATCGCATAGAGTTTGAAGAAGTGGATATCACAATGTCAGAGGAGAAAAGACAATGGATGTATAAAAATATTCCTGAGGATAGGCAGCCTGCGCAAGGCAATCCACTGCCACCACAGATATTCAGTGATGATCGGTACTGTGGAGTAAGTAGCTGTTACGGTTGTCAACGAACAATATGTTAGAGTACCCTGTTGGTCATTTAAAAAACTGGGACTTGCTGTTGAGCTTTCTCTAGTAGTATCTGAATTAATGGTGACAGTTTGGGGTGACAGGATCAGGTAATGATCATACAGTGAAAATTCAGATCGTTCATCTGTAAATCCTAACATTGTCTTCAGCTAGTGGATTCCTTCCATGAATGTAAGAATTTGTAATGCACATGCTTCATGTACAACCTGTTGATGGTAAAGTCCCTTGTGAGACCACTGTAAGCTGGGGATTTGTGTTTTTCTTGCTACTTGAGTCTAGACCAAGCATAAAAATTCAAAAGGAAATCTTTGGCACAGTAAATGAGAACATTGGCTAGATTGAGTTATATTGTCATTGTAATTAAGCTCCTTCTCTGCTGCTGTCATAGTGTAAATTTCATTTATGCTCAGAGAGCTTTTATGCAATCAGAGTCACTAGAATAAATGAAAACTATTTGCTGTTTGAATTGTAGAATAGTTTTATTTTTCTGTAAAGCAATGCAGCTTGAGACTTGTCTTCCTCTGCTGAAAGACTGCTAAGCATGAGAGCCTGTGAATCTGACAACAGATTGATGGGTGGGCTGATTTCTCTGATGGTGTAAGCTGCAATAACTTTTCCATCAGCTAGTGCAAGCTGCAGCGGTCTCCTTTGATATGTTAGGAATGGCACCATATGAATGTTTTACTCTCCTGCTTAGCCAGCATGATACGCTGCAGCTCTGAGTCTTGAGCACTGTTGTAGTCTGGGAGAATCTTCCCAGAACCTTTACTCATCTTTGAACAAAATGTTATAAAAAGACCACAGCTGGGCCCACTTTGCCTTGCTGCATCTTTTCATACTTCAAAGGTGTGACTTGTAGATCCTTCCAGAGGCAGGTTTGAGGTACTTGTTAGACTAGCTAGTGGAAGAAAGGGAGGTTTGATGTGCCACCCTGGCTGCATCAGGAAGAGATTGGTTAAGGTCTGTCTGTGAATTCAGTAGGAGAATGAAATGGGGAAGAGGGTGTCTGTGGTTATAATAGCTGGACCGGAATAAATGAGGGTATTGTGTGGGTTTCTGACTAGAATGTAGTGAAGATACATCAAGCTGGTTCCGACTTAGCCCGTGCCAAACTCAACAGTGCTGTAACGAAACTGCTTCTGGCAAATGGATCATTCAGATCTGCTGAGAACCTCTCAACTGCAGTGCAATTGTTAGCTTAATGTAGGAAGTGCGTAAGAAGTGATTTAGGATCCTCTGCAACAAACAGATTGAATATGATGCAGCAGCTAACTGGCTTCTTGAAGCGAGGTGTTTAACATCCCTCCCATACGCTTTGTATTGGCTCACTTGTTTACCTCAGCAGTATAACTCGTATCTTCCTACTTCCAGGTAAGAAACATCAGTTAAAGAAATGTATCTGGGACATGGAAGGGATTTGGACCCTCACTTATGGAGCAGCCGCTCAGTTACAAATAACAACATTTACATTGTTCTGTATGATTTTAGTTTGCTTGGGAAATGCCATGTTTTAAGCTGTTGTTTCTTACTCTTTCAGCTTGTCTTTATAGCGTGTTTTAACCTAGTCTTAGAAATTGCTGTTTGGAATTAGCAAGGAAGAAGATGTCATGCAACATGTGAGATGATCTCGTTAATCTGTCTGCTGAGCTGATAGCTGTTTTGGTTGAGCAGAGTTAATCCTATTAGAGCTCACTGTCTGCATGAACATCTTTAAAGAGCAAACATGCTTTGAAAGAAGCTATATTTTCTAGGATGAAAGAAGAAGTATGTGCAGGACCTCCAACATTCATCAGTTAGCCTGCTGCATTAGTTAATGAAGTTCTTAGGTGACAGAGTGGAGGCAAATCATTAGGCAGGAGGCAAAGGAGGTCAGTGCTGGAAAAGGGTTAAAATATCACAATTAGATGAAGTCAGCAGACGTTGCACATCTTGTCTTTCTCTGTCATTTCCACAGTGAGTGTTTTCATATTTATATCTTGACATAAATAACTAAAAAAAAATCACTATTAAATAACTTAAACTGAAAAAATACCCACTGAGTTGTCTGTTAGTTGAGTTAGTGAAAATTGTAGCTTGTCATTCCTGATTTGTGTCCAGGCAATTTCTAATTCAATTTGCTCTATTAACAAGCAGCCTGTTTTTCTGCCTGCCATCTCACCAGGAAACTGCTTATATACTCATTCTGGCTTATACATTGTTTCTGACAATACAGACTGACTGACTTGCAATACAAACTGGTGAGATCCGTTGCTGTTCCTCTAAATGTATGAGGGCTAGACAAGGCAAAGCAAAATAGGTACACTTTTTATTTTGTTCATGTTATTTCAATAGAGGTTCACAAGCATATGGTGAACGAGCCGTGACTCAAAGTTCATAGCCATACTGTTTTTTCTATATTAGTAAAAGCATTAATAGTTTGGGTTTTTTTCTTGCCATCTTCTCTTTATTAGAAAACCTCAGCAATGCACACAAAGGTTTTAGCTCAGAATAGATTTTTCTGGCTAGGACATTACCATTTCAAATAATCACTTTTCAGATTGTAACTGCAATATGGAGGAAGTTTGCCTGCAGTGTTTTCAGTAAGTACCCAAAATGGATTGGTGTCAGCCATCTGAACATGTGATAGCTGGTGTAAGAGGGGAGAAAGGTACAAAAAGATGACCAATGCTTACTGGTTCGCAAAACGTCTTGTACCACAGGGGGAGGGATCCTTCTAGTACCAACAGACAAACTGTATGTTTTGAAGTGTAGGCAAGAACCTTTTCTGAGTCGATGTAATCGCAAATATGATCATTAATCTATCTTCTTCTTTTCTCAGTCTTCTGAGATGCAGTCCCCAATTTTTCAGTAACAAGTTCTGCTAATGGCTTTTGAAATGAAGTACTCGGCAAGAACCATTTTTATTTCCTGCAAACAAAATGCAAGCTCTGAGCACACAAGAACACACATCATTTTACTGATAATCCAGTGCTATGTCATAGCACTGACACTATGATAATTTACATATTTTTATGACTTTACAATCTGTTGTTTCATCTTAGTGACATTGCTATAGCATTGTAAGTGTGTGAGAAGAGAGTCTACCTTTCAGACAAATCAGAAACATGAACCTGCTGTTCTGATTTACAGTAGTGTAAATCTGAAATTACTACAGTTGTCTTGCTCTAGTTAGTGCTACGTAAGAGTTAGGAAATGTTAGTGTGTAGTGCATGTTCCAAGAAAGAAGTCATGCACTTTGTGTAAAGAAAAGTAAAGTGGAGATAATTTGGAAAAGATCAAAAAAAAAGGACAAGTAGAGCCTTAATAGGAGATGGTGTGTGGGGTTGTTGGGCCTTGAAACCAGTTGTGTCTTGCCCTGTTCCTTACAAGGCTCATTCAATTAGTTTTAGTGGCTCCTGCTGTAGTACTTTGACATACAGCTATGACATACAACTCAAATCGTGGATTATTTTCCCCCAAGAATAAATCTCCTTGAGGTACACACTGGGTTTCCCCATCCTCCTGCATTGCTGACCAAGTGCACCCTGGCCCCTGAGCAAAAGAAACTCCACGAACAGGTTTGTCTTGTCCTGAGGGAGGAGCAACCCACACTGTCTTTCCCAGCCACTGTTCTCCACAGCAGAGAGGCTTTAACCACTTGATTTTTTTGGTCATGGCGCGTGTTTCACATTCATGGATAACTGTTCAACAGCTTCAGTGGTCGGGTCCGCCCCTCAATCATGAGCCCATCTATACATTTCGTCTCTTCCTAGGTGCCCTGATATGTCATGAGCCCACTGAGCTATGAATAGCTCACCCTTATGTTCCCACTCCAGGTCCACCGTAGCCATTTCAGTTCTGGCAGCCTGCTCTACCTGCTCCTTGTTTCCATGTTCTTTGGTGGCACTGCTCTTGGGCATGCGGGTATCTGTGTAACGTACTTTTACACCAAGGTTCTCCACCCAGGCAGCAATGCCTTGCCACAGTGCAGCAGCCCAGATGGCCTTACCTCTGTGCTGCCAGTTAGTTGGCTTCTGTTGCTGTAGCCACCCACACACGGCATTTGTTGCCATCCGTGAGTCAGTGTAGAGGTAGATTACTGGGCACTTTTCTCTTTCGGCAGTGTCTAGGGCCAGCTGGATGGCTTTCACTTTGGCAAACTGACTCGATTTGCCTTTGCCTGTGACAGTTTCTGTGACTTGTCTTGTGGGACTCCACACAGCAGCTTTCCATTTCTGCTATTTCCCACAATACGACAGGACCCATCAGTAAATAATGCATATTGGTTTTCATTTTCTGGTAATCTGTAATACAGAGAGGCCTCTCTGGCATGAGTCACCTCCTTGGGCGATGATTCGAAATGTCTGCCTTCTGCCAGTCCATGATCTCTTCTTCCTGCTGTCCCTCAGGAGGAGCTTCTGTCTCCTTTACTATCTGGGTTGACCTATGCTTCCATTGTTTCTTGTTGACTGCAGGAACAGCTGTTGTAGTTGAGGGTTGGATTTCTGATTTATCCACAGTGTCTGTTTGTGTGTCCTCAGATCCAAAGACCCTCACAGTATCCATTTGTATGTCCTCAGATCCAGAGACCCTCATGGTATCTGTGTGTTGTCAGATCCAGAGATGCTCTTGTTCCCCTGAGCATAGGCATAGGCCTACCCCAGGCCCCAACACAGTGCTAGAAGTTGTGTCTTCACGGTATATGCAAGGCATCCTTCCTTCAAGTGGTCTGCCAATTCAAAAAAATCAGGAGTGAAGCCCCAAACCATCAGAGGTGAAAACAGCTCTAGGCACCTGCCCAAATTCTCCCACACGCCTTGCCACTCGAGAATTGGTTGCTTCAGGGCACGTTCCCATGTGGCATTCCCAGCTGGTTGGTTAACCTTATGAAAAGCCAAAATGAGTGTCACTGCACATAGCAATACAAACTTCTGGTTACATGGGGATGTTCAAGAAACTGAAGGGCCATTGCAAC